AAAATGTTGCCTTTGGTAGAAGTCATAAAACTTGACTAAAATTCTTAGCTGTTAATGTTTTCGACAGCAGCATAAGTATTCATTTTCTTCTTGTTTTAGCGTGGAAAGCTGCAGCCAATATCTTGTTCTTAACAACGCTTGTTTTTGTAGACTTTTAATATTATCTTCAGTCTTGCACAAGATAACGTTCTTTTAACAGTCGTGAGAGATGTATTAGAATCCATGTTATCTTTTTTTTTGTGAACACTAACAATTGATTGCAGTTAACTGATGATCGTAATTCTAATCGACGGTTTTATTTAGTTATTTATAAAAAATTAATTTAGGGGTGTAGGATGTGGTCATGAGCATGAAAAGAGATTTGAATTAATCTGAGATGACTTCTTATTTCTTTTCTTGGGAGCAATAATCACTGGAAAACCGATGTGAAAAATCAGAAAATAATTTTAGCAATAAGCTATTTATTCTAAGCATCTATTTTAATGATGTTATTTTTATTATAACAAAACAACAAAAATTTCAATAAATGAAATACACGCTTAGTTGATATTTTTATCAACCCAAATAAATAGTTCTGGTGCATCTGTATACAAATATTTCACACGAAGTATAAAATGTAATTTACATGAATGTTTTTTAAATAACAAAGAAAAATATTTGCGATCATTTAATGATGACAAATAATCATGTATAGTTGACAATTTTGATAATTGATATAACAAAAATAATATAAATTTCGATTCATTAATATTACATCTAAGTTGTTCAATATTTGAAAATATTCTACAAAATTTCTTTAATTCATCAAGATTATTGAATGAAGAATGAGCATATTTATATATATTTAATTTTTTAATCATTTTATTTAAATACAAGCATAATTGATTATCATTAAATAATAATGCTAAATCACTTGGATTGATTTTCATTGATGATAATTGTGATGATTCTTTTAGTATTTCTAATAATTCTCCTGTTGATATTATTCTCTGATACATTGAAATATCTAAATGTTTTAAATTAGACAAATTAACAAGCATTTTTAGAGATGTAATGTCTAATGTTTGTGATAAAGAATCATTAATCTCTTATTCCAATGTAGTTAATGTCAATGAAATAACATTTGCAAAACGAAAAGGATATTTCTTTGCTATTTGTTTATGACTTAATTTTAGATTGGTTACTTTATCAAATGTGTTACCAGTTTCCATTAACTTATTAGAAAATCTCTTAGTATTCAGTTCTAATTTAAATGTATTTCATAGATAAGGTACTGTATAAATGCATAATGAATCTCTGTCTGATAATAATTGAGTAAGTCATTGATGTTCTTTGCACCAAAAGTCACTTTGAAATAGAAAATATTTATGCAAAAATATTCTATCTCGATATGTGCTGCTGCAGCTAATTTTAAATTTGAAAATATTTGAATAAGGTAATGAAGATTTTATTAAATTTTTCCATCGACTAGGATTGATCATATCAATGTTATCATCTGCAAATATTGTTAAACTTATTAAATTTGGTATTTGTTTTGCAAAGATTGAAAAATCTTCAAATGAATACTTGAATTTACCAATAATCAATTATTTTAGATGAATAGCATTATTCTTTATTTATCAATTATTTTTGGAAACATATTCAATGTTGAAATATTTTAACATAAGAACATATTTAAATAATTGATATAATAATTGCTCCAAAGAACAACTAGAAATTGTTAAATGTGTACTTATTGTAAGTTGTTGAATATGTATTAGAAAAGATCGTAGTGTTAGTAGAGATAATTGTCGTAAATTAGACATTGGAAGAACAGATATAATTTCATCTTCATCATAATGAGAAGAATTTAGATGATATTGGTAACATTGATTTCAATTGAGCGATATTTTCGTCTTCAATTTGAGTTAATGTTAATGAATGAAGATTAGAAAACTTGTCGAGTGGAAAACGTGATAAAAATGCTTTGATTGGACCATATGCATCTTTATTTGATAAACATAATGAATAAATTTGTTGTTGAATGTTTGAATTTGATAATTTTTGTCAACAAAATTGAAAAACGTTTTGTTTTACGAACATTTTGGAAATTGAGATGTATTGGAATAGTTCGAAGAAGTTTATAAAAACGATAATTTAATTGATCAAATGAATGAAATATATCAAATATACTGAGATATTCAAAGTATTCGATTAATATTTCGTTAGACAATAGTTCAAATTTCATAACGATTACTAATCAACATACAATAGAAAGAATTTCAAAAATGTTCTTTGTCTGTTGTTCTCGTTCTATAAGAAACAAAGAATTTGATGACTTCCATTTGAAACAATATGTCTTTTATGATATGAACAAAATAAGTCTTGTCTATATTAGATTTACTATTTATTCTTGGTATAGAAAACAAAATATATTTGCAGTTTTATATTAAAATGTGATAACGATAAATATTCGATCATCGATTGATGGGATTTTCATTTAAAGATTGATTAGATGTCTCATCTCATGTAAACTGTCGAAATAGGGAATTGATAGCTACCAAATATCTTCCGTTTTTATCAAAGCAATCAAGATTAATAGAATAGAAACGAAACTATACCGAGACAAGCAATACTTAATGACAAAGAGCTAGTAAATCAACAAAACGCTAGAGAAACAGTCACCTAACGGTTTTCACATTTTGAATCTTTACCTGGTGACATTTCGTGCAACGTTTCCAGTTCTTTTTCTTACACTGGTAGTGATTTATGTTACGATCGCTAGTGCTTTCAGCGCAATGCTCACTGACCAGTATTTCAAGCAGGATTGTCACCTTCTCCACTTTTCGATATAGTTTTTTTTTCAGGTTTCAAAATCAGTACAGAGGAGAACATGTTCTCATTGAAAAAATCGTGATCAATGACGTGTACAGTTTGCTATCATTCTGATTGATTAATCTATTAATTCAGTGTAACAATATTAAAACTTTTTCTATGGAAGAGAGGCTCTGCTTTCCATTTCTATTCGTTAAGTAAAAGCACCATTCTGCTGTCAATCACTAGTTAACTGGGTTAACCTGCTTAGTTTACGTGCTTTACTTACACAGAAAAATCTCAAATTCGAATATCTAAACAATTTTTTTGTGATCAAGTGATAGCGAGATAATAAATAAAGATGAAAATAAAAACTTGAAAGCTACAGTAGATGCTTTCGAAAAGAAGAAAAAAGTATGAGTATGGATATGAATGCCTGTGTACATCTTCTCTTCAGGGACATACTACCCACAACCACACCCCGTGACAACCGTGATTTCAAGGCACCCCTCGTGCAGGATGATGCCTAATTATATAGCAATCGAAAGAACGTAGAATTTACACTAAAATCTATACAGAGTTTCATCTTAGGGTGGGGTGTGGGTGTGGGTGTGGGTGTAGGTGTGGGTGTGGGTGTGGGTGTGGGTGTGGGTGTGGGTGTAGGTGTGGGTGTGGGTGTGGGTGTGGGTGTGGGTGTAGGTGTGGGTGTGGGTGTAGTTCTTCTTTGAAACCAACACCCACACCCACACCCACACCCTTCACCCATGGACGATCTTTCTCATTCGACATTTGAGTGTTTCTATGATGATGTTTGCGTGGATCAACTAAGTAGAGCTCTAGGTATTTTTTCAATAAACTGAATCGTAATGCAACACGATTCTCACCGACGACTGCAATTGATTTGATTCTAGACGAGTCATGGAATTATTCAGCCAGTTATTTCAAATATTTTCAATTATGTGCTTCATCGATATGTCAATATCATTATGCCAAACAAAATAATGTTGTCTACGTATTCATAACACTGATTGGACTCTATGGTGAATTGACCGCAGCCCGTTACGTCTCTACCGAATGGCTATATGGCGGTGTCCACATTTGTTCCAACGCGTATCTCCATCATCCTAAATGTCAATGAACTATCTAGGACATCAGCAATGTTTCATTTGTAACTAAAGGAACACTCTCATTATTTGATATTGTATGCTTTTCTCAAGTATGAAACTTGACAATGGAGATCACTAGTTTTATTTTGCTTTGGTTTTATTTGATTTGTTTTGCATGCAAAAAACACCTTCTTTCGTGCATTAAAAATACTTATTTTCATATCATGCTTCTATTTTTCTCGATATTCATTCACATGAACCAAAATGGGATGTTAGAAATTAGTCAATTGACTCAACTATAAGATGATTATGTCTAGAGAACAAGGTTGAAAAACGGTGTATTACTTATTGAATAATGAAAAATGATCGAGAATTTGGATGACTTGTTTTTCCACTAAATTTTGTGATACATTCTCGAATGATTATGAATGATAATTATTTTGTATGAAAAGAATACAAAAGGCAGTCTGCTACGGTGATTTTGATATTTTTGGATCTATCGATATACGTTATGAGAGACAGTATGATACATTGTCCGCTTTTTCTAGTCTTAGAAATACATCCATAAGACAGAACCGACAAAATAGTGTATACGATACAAGTTTTCAAGAGTATGGGAACTCTTTCATGAAATGGTGCTATGCCGATTTTTGATGAACTGTTTTAGATATCAAGAAATCGGAACTAAAAATAACTACTATCGAAGGGATGCCGGTAGTGTTCTTGAATATTCTTTCAGGTGTAGATAGAGGAAAACAATTGAGTTATCATTAAGTCAGTTGAACATATTAAGAATTTTAGGAGAACCACTCGGTCTAAAAAAAACATTATTTCCGATATAAAATCTTATATCATTCAAATAGAAAGGCATTGATAATTTTCTTATTTCTCGATCAAATCTTGAGAAAAAAATAACATATGAAATCCATAATCAGTGCAACAAGCTCTATCAAAATAGATATAAAAGAGAAAAATTAAAGATGAAGCATTTTTTCATCTCTTGCGGGTACCTCTTGTTGGTCTGTTCAAGTATATTGAGCCACGCTTACATATTTCGATTTAATTGAATGGTCACTGTTAAACCTATTTATTCATGTAAAAATACACACTTTTTCTAAGTAGAGATCATGGAAAAATACAGATACGTCTTGTTCGCTTTGGTTTAGTAGCATTCGGCATAATCGCTTTCTTTTCATATTACATATTGGTTTGGAAAAAATACTTTTAAATCTTTCTTCTTCTTTTTAATTACAAATTACATATAAATTAAAGGTTTCGTGCATTTCTTGTGCCGACTGCGCTAT